GGTCAGCTCTTTGATAAGGTGAGGATTCAACTGGCACTCTTGTTTGTAACAGTAAAGAGGATTCCCTGAAAGAAACCCACACAGCTGTGTGCATTAGGGAACCACACAACCCCATAAAGGAGAGTAGACTGGAGCAGTCAGGGAGCGGTGAGGAATCCCTGGCCAAGCCTGGTGAGCAGGGGATATGAACTGACAGGAATGGAGTGATGGTGGCTGGAGGTGTTCTTGGACAAGATGAGAAGTTCCTAGACCAAGCATGAACCAAAGCCAGCAACAAGAGACAGAGCCACGCTCTAGAAGAGCCCATCTAGACCTTGTTCTTTACTGGTGTTATGAGTCACGTGGACTGTGCAGCTTGGGGAGAAGGGATCACTTCTCTGGTAATCCCAAATCCTGACCCCTAGTGAGAGGCCCTCAGTCCCCACCACCCCTCAGGGCAGTACTGAAAGCTTGGAGGACTGTATAGAACATTGGAGGAGCTGGGTTCACTAGAAAGGGGAGGGGAGATGGTTTGACAATTTATGAGTTCAAATGAAAGTCCTTTGCATTTTTTTCAGGTTAAAATAAAGCCTGTTCAATATTTATGGGCAGCTAGGTAGCACAGTTGATAGACCGCTAGGAATGAAGTCAGGAAGATAAGTCTTCCTGCGTTCAAATCCAGCCTCAGACACTTATCAGCTGTGTGACCCTGGGCAAGTCATTTATCCCTGTTTGCCTTAATTTCCTCGTGTGGAAAATGAGCTGGAGAAGGAAATAGCAAACCATTCTAGTATCTTTGCCAAGAAAACCCCAGATGGGGTCATGAAGAGTCAGACGTGACTGAAAAACAACTGAACAAAACAACAAAAATCCTATATTTAAAGCAAAGGATCATAGACCTAAAGCGGAAGGTACCTCAGAGGCCATCTAGCCCAATTTCCATATGAGAAAACTGAGGCCTAGTATTAAGTGCCAGAGGGAGGGTTGAACCCATGTTCTCTCTAACTCCAGAACTAGTGAATGCTCCACCATGCAACACTGCCTCACGTTATAGCTTGAGTATTAGCAGGGAACTATGGTCCCTTTTCCTTTGTAGACAAAGAAATGATGACCTAGATAGGGGCCAAATGTCAATGTTCCTTGAGGGAAACTAGTAGTGGGAGCAAAATGAGCCTAATTCCCATGTTTCTAGGGTAAATTGTGGAAAGGATGACGAGTCAAAGAAAGATTTATCTTCAAAGCCTCCAAGATTGAGCTTTTGTTACTGTGCCATTTCAGCCATGTCTGACTCTTTATGATTCCTTTTGGGGTTTTCTTGGCAAAGATACTGGAGGGATTTACCATTTCTTTCTCCAATTCATTTTACAGATGAGAAAATGAGGCAAACAGAGTTAAATGACTTGCCCAGGGTCACATAGCTAGTAAGTATCAGAGCCAGATTTGAACTCAGGTCCTTCCAACTCCAGGGCTAGCATTCAATTCACTGGGCCACCTAGCTATCCCTAAAATTGACCAAGGTCCGTGTAAAAGACTTTGATTCTGAACCATGACTTAGATATACAGTATGAAGCCTTCTTTCTCTGAGTCCCTAGTCCATCTTTTCAGTAATATTACAAACTATTAAAGGTGGCCAGAATCTGCACTTTCAATATGGCGGTTTTATGGAAGATAGACTATCTGGACACCCTGTCTTCCAAAGTGATATAAAGCACAGTAGAAATAGCATAAACAAACTGGTTTATACTACCTCAGAAGGTAACCAAATATTGTCCAAAGGACTTACTTTTGGGGGGAGGGTGGGAGAGGGAGTGGAGGATGGGCAGGAAAGCCCTGACCTATCATCAATAAATTAATCAACAAGCATTTATTAAGCATCTAGTGTGTGCCAGGCTCTGGGCTATATAGACAAAAATTAAAGTTTTTACCATCAAGAAGTTACATTCTAACAGGGAGACAACGTGAAGACAAGGAGATATTATAAGAAAATTAGAACATGGAACATATTACCTATCAAACTAATGGGCAGAAGAACTTATGAATAAATAGGAGAGAGAACACTGTGAAATCTAACATGGATCATCAGGATTACATTAAATTTAAAAAGTTTTATACAAATAAAACAAATGTAGCCAAGATCAGAAGGAAAGCAGAAAATTGGAGGGGGTGGGATTTTATAGATGTTTCTCAGATAAAGGTCTCGTCTCCAATATATGGAGAACTTCATCAAATTTATAAGAATATGAGTCATTCTCCAATTGATAAATGGTCAAAGAATATGAACAGGCAGTATTTTGATGAAGAAATCAAAACCATGTGGTCATATAAAAATGCTCTAAATCATTATCAACTAGAGAAACGCAAATTAAAACGACTTTGAGATATCATCTTACATCTATCATATTGTCTAAAGTGAAAGAAGGGGAGAATGACAAATGCTGGAAGAGCTGTGGAAAAATTGGGACACTAATAAAACCATTTTAGAGGGCAATCTGGAATTATGCCCAAAGAGTTGTACTGTGTATATACTGTGTATACCCTTTGACCCAGCAATACCACTATCAGGTCTGTTTCCCAAGGGGATCAGGGATAAAGGAAAAACTTACAGGTTCTAAAATATTTAGAGTAGCTCTCTTTGTGTTGGCAAAGAACTGGAAATTGAGATTCTATCGATTGGGGAATGACTAAACAAGTTGTGGTATATGACTATGCTAGAAGAAATGATGAGCTGGTTGGTTTTAGAAAAACATGGAAAGACTTGCAGGAAAAAATGAAGAATGAAATGAGAGGAACCTAGAGAATGTTACATATAATAATAGCATTATTATTCGAAGAACAACTGTGAATGACTAAATTATCTTGAGTATTATAAATATTCAAATCAACTACAAAGGATCTATGAAGGAAGATGTTATCTACCGCCAGAGGAAGAATTGATAAACAGAAGTAGGTATAGTAAGGTGTGTGTGTGTGTGTGTGTGTGTGTGTGTGTGTGTGTGTACACACATATATATGTATATATGTATGTATGTATTTGTATAAATCTGTGTTTAATGGTGGCCTTCTCTAATGTGGGGTGGGGACAGAGAGAAAATATACAGCAGAGAACAAAAGAAAACTCAGAAGAAAGCACAGAAAAGCAGGGTAGCTTTGAAAATGATATATAGTATTTATTACACAGCTTTTTGAAAAAGTAAACAGTATGGAATGGAGATTCATGATTTCATATTGAATCCTTTTTTTGTGTTGTACTGCATACATGGAAATTTTTTTTTCGTATTTGAGTTCAAAGTGAACAAAATTTTTTTAAAAATAAACAAAAGATATGAGAGACAGCTAGTACAAAAGCGATGACTGGTGAGGAAGCGTCCCACGTAAGGAGTAGCAAAAAGACCAGTTTTTCTGGACCTTAAACCATATGAAGAGGAATAAGTCTTAGAAAGGTTGGTTTGGGGCCTTCCTGTGAAGGGTTTTTACTACCAAACAGAAGGATTGCTATTTAGTCCTAACTGTAAGAGGGAGCCACTGGCATTTGTGAGCAAGGGAATGACACGTTCAGATCTGTGCTTTAGGAAAATCCTTTTTGCAGCTGTGTGAAAGACAGATTGGAAAGAGGAGAAACCTGAGACAGGGAGACCAGTTAGGAGGTTATCACAACAGTTAGGTGACAGATGGTGAGGGGTTGTAGGAGTAGAGAGGTGGGACAGATGTCACAGGTGGTGTGGAGGTAGAAGCAACAAGGCTTGGCCCCTGAATGAGAGTCTGCAGCTTGCCCCGACGAGCTAAATGTGCGGCATTGTGATCTGTAGTTGGAGTGAGTATGAAGGCACTGCTTTTCCCCCCGCCCACGAATTCTTATTTGCATTTAGGAAGGGGAGGCAAGAGGGGGAAAGGATCCATACAATCCAGCAGGAGTGGTGCCAATTTGGACGGGCCTGGTTCTCAACAATGGCTGTCCCACCCCCACCCTTGGGAATCTAAGCAGTAAACTCCTTCCCACCAAACACACACCAGTATGGACCAGCAGGGTCTCCATTAACCCATGGAGAAATCTCTTCTTCCCCAAACCTGAAAGATCAAATCCACCTGAGGCATTGACCCACAGCTGGGTGGGTAGGAAAAACCTCAGGCACCGTTGTGTGGTGTGTGACTCAGAGCAGGTCACTTAACTTCTATCTGCCTCAATTTCCCCAACTGTAAAATGAGAATTATAATAATAGTGCCTCACAAAGCTGTTGTGAGGCTCAAACAAGATCATATTTGTAAAGTGCTTATCACATTGCCTGGCACAGAGCAGCTGTTAATAAATGCTTGCTCTCTTTCCTCTTTCCACAGAGAAAGGAACAAGCATGCTCACAAGCAAAGGCAGAATTGGCTCCACCACCAGATCCTTCAAGGATAGAGTTCCTCAGGGGTCAGCCCCATGCAGGCTTCTTCACCATCCTACACCTACTGCTGAGCTGAGCCCCTGTTTGGAGCTGGGCACCATTCTAGGGAGTATGTTAGGATGGAACAGTTCCTATCCAAGCTAGGTCTGAAAATCAGTTTCATCATCACCTACTCTCCAATTCTGTTACATCATGTGTGTAGGCAACGTGATCTTTGACTCCAGGCCAACATAGTTGAACACGAACACAACACACCCACTAACAATAAAGGCACAAAGGGAGAGAGCCCCAGGCCCCCAACAATGTAGGCACTGTGGCTGCACCCCTCCTCTGGACCTCAATGAGCCTCACCTTCTACATCCCACAAACACATACATACACACACATACACACACTCACTCTTTCCCCACACTTGGCTCATCAGTATACATCCAAGAGCCTGCTCCAATGTATGCCAGCCTTCTTCCCACTATCTGGACCCACTAAACGCTCTAGTAAAAATGTCAGTGTGATCAGCCACCATAAGGTGGGTGCCATGGCAATATCACCACATACCACCACATCATCACACATCACCACAATAATAAAGGAAGTTGGTATGCAGCTTTAAGATGTGTAAATTGATTTACATATTACCTTATTTGTTCCCAGGGGAATTCCCCATGCATTGCATAATGTACCATTAACGCCATCTTCTACTCCTATAAAAAAATAAAATAAAATAACTCACCTTGTGTCTCCAGTGAGCCCCGCTTCAACCAAGGATCCATCAGACCTTAAGGCCTGTAGAACCACTCTAAGGCTGAGTACTCTCCAGGAAGGGGAAAGGTTTGAAAGCAATCCATCAGTTATCTCTAAGTCACTAGGTGGCACCATTGACAAAGCACTAGGCCTTGAGCCAGGAAGATCTGAGTTCAAATCCATCCTCAGATATTTACTAGCTGTGTAGCCATGGGACTTCATTTAATCTTAGTTTCCTCAACTGTAAAATGGGGATAATAATAGCACCTACTTCCCACAGTTGTTATAAGGATCAAATACAATAATATTGTAAAGGTCTCAGCACAATGTCTGATACATAGTAAGTGTTATATAAATACTGGCTATTATTATTGTCATTATTAATCTGATTACATGGCTAACCCATCAGTACATTATACGTGAACCAGAAACTTAGTTGTTCAGTCATTTCAGTTGTGTCCAACTCTTCATAACCATATCTTCATGTGCATGGGATTTTCTTGGCAAAGATACTGGAGTAGTTTGCCATTTCCTTTTCCATTGGTAAACAGAGGTTAAGTGACTTGCCCGAGGGCACACAGCTAGGAAGTTTCTAAGGCTGGATTTTAATTCAGGTCTTCTATCTCTAAGTCCAGCACTCTACTCACTACATCCACCTAACTGGCTTGGGTCAGAAACTTCAGATGAACAGTGAGTTGGGCCCAGAATTGAATAGGAAGAGGAAAGCAGATGGGATAACTTTTGGAAAGTTATATAATACTTGGAATGACCCTACACTTCCTTCTGGACAGAGGCCTCTCTTTCTGACACTGTTATTTTTCCAATGATTCTATTTGGCTTCTGAGCTTGGAATAACCCCCTCCAAATAATTAAAGTTTCAGATCTCACAAAGGTCATGCAATGGAGAGGAGTATGTTGGGCATAAGTAAACCACAGTAAATTACCAATGAAGAAATGTGCTGAAAATTCGACTTAACAGGGAAAAATGAAAATTACTACATAGAGATCCAAAACTTCAATTGCACATGTACAGCATGGGGATGACTGGACTTAACAACAATCCATAAAGAAAAGATTTATGACTCTTAATTGATGATAAACTCAATATGAGCTAGAAGCCTAATAAAGCTGACCTAGAACCTAGAGCAGTCTTGGACTGTATTAATATGGCTTCAAAATTAAAGCAGATAATTGTTCTATTGTACTCTGCACTGTGCAGCCCACATCAAAGGTATCCTGCATGTTTAGAATAAAAGCTCCTTGCACCTAGTGATTATCATTGTATTTGTCTCCCCAGCCCTGGCATAGTGCCTAATATATAGTAGGCACATAAGAAATTATTTCTGAGTGATTAATTACATGCCACTCTTTAAGAGAGACATTGATACGGAATGTCCAGAGAAAGATGACAAGATGGCTAGAAACCAGGGCATATAAGGAAAGGTTGAAGAAACCAGGGATATCTATCCTGGAGAAGATTAGAAGCAGTTAAGTGGAATAGTAGATAGAGCGCTGGACCTGGAGTTAAGAAGATACTAGCTGTGTTACCCTGGACAAGTCAATTAACCTCTCTGTCTGTTTCCTCATGGGGGCAATAATAGTACCTACCTCAAAGGACTGTGATGGGAATCAATGAGATGACAATGTAAAGTGCTTTGCAAGCCTTAAAGCATGACAAAAACACTAGCTATCATTATTATAATATGATATAATTATATAAATGTAAGTTCTATAAATAAAATATAATATAAATTAGAAAAATATTGTTATATAGATAATATAATTATAACATTATGTTATATAAGTATATAACATTATATACTTATATAATATTATTGTGTAATAATATAATGTTATTTATTAATAATATGAGTAATCTGAGGTGGGACATAATAATGGTTTGTATGTACATGAAGGGTTGCCTTCAAATGTCTTTAGTGTTGTTCCAGAGGGCAGAACTGATACCAATGAGGGGCAGTTACAAGGGGGCTAATTCTAGCTCAAGATAAAAAGACCCATGTGACAACAGGAGTTGACGATTGATTGTCTTGCAAAATAGCAAGTTTCCCATAGTTAGAAATGCTAAAGCAGGAGCCAGATGGCTCTGTCAGGGAAACTGTAGAAAGGATTCCTACATGGGAAAGTTATGTGGACTAAATGACTTCTCAGTTCTTTTCCAGCTCTAAGCTTCTATGAGGTTATGAGTTCCAAACTGGACAAAGCTGAACTCTGCACCTGTTCCATGTTCATACTAGTGTGATCCTAGGTAAGAACTAAGAGGAAGATGGCCAGTGTGAATGGGGTATAAGGTTTCCAAAGTTACAGGTACAAAAAATAAAAGCAAAAACTTTGCATTTATATAGAGCTTTGGGGGTGATAAGGTACTTTCCTCACAATAACCTTGTGTAATTATTAGTATCCTAATTTATAGATGAGGAGACTGATGCTAACACGAGTGAATTGCCTTGCCTATAGTCATACAGGTAGTAACTGTCAGGACCCAGGGCCAACCAGGGCCAAATTAATTTTAATTAATTAGTTAATCACAGAGTGATGTCTTGACTTGCTAATGAATTAGATTTAAGTGAGGCAGACTTTCACAAAATCATCAACCTCACTTTCTCTCTTCCTGAGTCATTGAAATCAGTGGCAGGACAAAAGTCAAGATGCCTGGAACGGCCTGGGATGCGGTGGATGACCTGGGCGTCTTTGATGTCTGACCAAGCTCTAAGCACTCCACTGCACCTGCTTCAGCTACCTTCATGGCCTTTGGAACAAATTGTTCTCATCTGCCCGTTCTGTTGGGAGAAGCCTTCACATGCTGAGGGTAGACATCCCACTGAGGCCCGTTGGTTACTCTCAACCTGGTTTAGCCCACCTGCTTGAAAGCGCTGCCAGGGTGTGGCCACTGCACATGCTACAGCTTCCTGGAGCCACAGGTGAGTGTTGAGTGAAGGTGGACACCAAAAGTGGATGAGCAGCCTGAGAAGGGCTCTGTGAGTCCTCACACCAGAGGTGCTGGTCCTCCACCCCATGAACCTGATTAATATACCTAAAACTTCAAAAAAAATGTGCAGAAGAGAGCACAGGGAAGCTCAAAAGGGGGCATAGATAAAGATAGTCTTGTTACTTTCATTAAATCTAGTAGAGAGAAGGACTGGACCTATAGTATAGGGAACTCCCCAGTGAGGAAACTCCCTCCACCAACGTAGGTTTCTATTTTCTCAGAAATCATAGTCTTAACAAGTTGCCTAGAGCAATGGTTCTCCACGTGTGGCCCAGGGACCCCAGAAGTACTTTCAAGAAGTCCATGAGGTCAAAACTAATAATACTAAATTATAATAAGTAAATAATTGTAACAATTAAATAGTGGTACTAAAGTATGTTACTTAATACAGTAAATATTGATAGACATTATCCACAGTAACAAAAGCTGGAGAGGGGGAGAAGCAGGGAAGAGCTCTCAGTCATTTTTAAGTGTAAAGAAGTTCTGAGACCAAAACGTTTGGAAACTAGTGGCCTTGAGTATTAAGAGTTTGAGTGTGTTTCCCAGGTCACAGTCAGAAAGGGTAAGAATTAGGACTTGAACCAAGGTTTCTATCAAGACAAGTTCTCTATTAAATCAATTTAACATATACTTTTTAAAAACCATGTTAATAAAATTTCAGTTTTTTGTACAATCCTCTTATCAGTTCTTTGTATACACTAAAATGTTCATGCTTGTCAAAAAATGTTTTTTAAGTTTATTTTAAAAGGTTTGGGGTTTTAATTTTTTTAAAAAAAAGGCTGGCTATAGGAAATCATAGGAAGCCTGAAAAACTTTATTCACAGTAAGTAGCAACACTAGTCTTACTTACATACCATCTCAGTTCAAAATTTTCTCAAGAAATGTCTTCCCTCCTCCCCCATCGGCAGCTTATTAATATCAGGTCACAGAATGTTCAAGTTGGAAAGGACCTTGGAGGAGGCCATGCTGTATAATGCAAAAAGCCCTGGGTCCTGGTCCAGGTACCTGGATGCTCCCCCACCCCCACAACTCAGTTGGATGATCTTCAGCCAGATATTTCACCTCCCTGGGCCTCAGTTTCCCCATTTTTAAAATGAAAGAGTCTGATTAGCTCTCTAAGATCTCTTCCAGCTCTAACAACCAATTAACCAAAGAGCCAAATCTCCTATTTTACAGATGAGAAAACTAAAGCCCCCAAATAACTAAATGATTTGCCCAAAATTACACAAATATATAGTGGCAGGCCCAGAACTAAAACCCAGATCTCCTGCCTTCCAATCTAGAGCTCTTGGGACTCCATTAGTAAATGTCTGTCACTCACCCAGCACTGCCATACCTCCTTCCCTCTCCCCCACAAAAATCAACCCAAGCTTAAATCTCGTGCTCACCAGGAAGCCTTCAGTGGTGAACCCCACCCATTGCCACCTTCCCTCAGTAATTATATGCTCACTAGTGCTAGAATTGTCATTACTGTACACTCCCCTGGTACTGTGTTAACTTGTACTCATTTACATGATACCTTGTAAGCATTCCTCAGTTACTTTTTGGAAGGTTTTTTTCAAGAACTAGTTCCTTAGGGTCAGAGAACTCTTTCTCTTATAGTCTCCTTTCTCTTACCCCTCCCCATAATAACAAGGAGCATGCTTACTACACAGTAGGCACTCCACAGATAAGGTGGACTTGCTTATTGATTATAATGTTCAATGGAAACAAGGATTCCTGAGAAACCCCAGGGTCAAGGGCTGGCTCTGCCACTTGTAAGCTGTGTGACCTTGGCAAAGTTATTTAACCCTTCTGTATCACTATTGCCTCATCTGGAAAAAAAAAGGTCATGATACTCGCACCATCTGCCACACACAGCTGTTGTAAATCTGAAATGAGATGATGAATTGCATACTTAGATATCACAAAGCTCTCTATAAATGCAAGCTATTATTGTTATGACTAAAAAGCTCCAGTTCTCTCCTTTATAACTAGTGGGGCTTTAGCAATGGGCTTCCATGTTCTTCCCCACTCCCAAGGCCCAATCCAGTTGAACAGGCATCTGTTAAGTGCCCACTGTGTGCAAGTAGATAGGGGAAAGAGCTATTAATCTCTATTTTCCCCATATGACAGATGGAAAGAGGTAGAGACAAGCTGTAACTTATTCGAAGTGCCATAGACAATATATGAATACGTCGATGGTTGGATAAATGGGTAGAGATAGACAGATGGAAAAGAAAGAAAGGAAAGGAAAGGAAAGGAAAGGAAAGGAAAGGAAAGGAAAGGAAAGAAAGGAAAGGAAAGGAAGGAAAGGAAGAAAAGGAAAGGAAGGAAAGGAAAGGAAAGAAAGGAAAGGAAAGGAAAGGAAAGGAAAGGAAAGAAAGGAAAGGAAAGGAAAGGAAAGGAAAGGAAAGGAAAGGAAAGGAAAGGAAAGGAAAGGAAGGAAAGAAAGGAAGGAAGGAAGGAAGGAAGGAAGGAAGGAAGGAAGGAAGGAAGGAAGGAAGGAAGGAAGGAAGGAAGGAAGGAAGGAAGGAAGATAGATAATAGAGCTCTAATTAAGCTCTACATACCAAGTACTGTGGTAGATACTAGGGATAGAAAGACAAAATATAAAATAGTCCCTGCCCTCTAAAAACTTGCATTCTATCAGGGGGAATAAGTAAATGCAACAGAAAAAAATAAGCTTCCAATTTACATAATGAAGGAATTCTGTTAAGTATATTTCAAGGATGGCCTAATCAAACTTCTTCCAGAATCTCCATTTGTATGGACTTCTAACTTTGAACCTTCTGCTGTCACCATACTGTACTACAGGCCAGAGTTACCTATTTATTGTCAGGGTTGCAGTTAGAAAAACAGGAGGGCCAATAAGGAACTCAAAAGACCTTGGATGAAGCATGGGGGGGGAGGAGAAAGAGGAGGAGAAGGAGGAGAAGGAGAAGGAGAAGGAGGAGAAGGAGAAGGAGGAGGAGGAAGAGGAGGAGGAGGAGGAGGAAGAGGAGCAGGAGAAGACAAAGAAGGAGGAAGAGGAGGAGGAGGGAAGGAAGGGGAAGAGGGGGAGGAGGAGGAGGAGAGAAGGAAGGGGAAAAGGGGGAGGAGAAATAATAGATACAGGTGCTGGAGTTGGAAGCGGGAAGATGTGGATTTGAATGTCACCTCAAGCACTTACTAATTGTGTGACCCTGGGCAAGTCATTTAACCTCCCCCAGTCTCAGTTTCCTTATATGAAAAATAAAGGCGCTATACTCTGTGACCACTTAAGGACTCTTCTGATTCTAAATCTATGATCCCCAGATAAAAGGTAAGCTCCCTGAGGGCAGGAACTGTTTTATTTTGGTATTTTGACTTTGAATCTCCAGAACCTAGCACAAAATAAGGTCAATTAATAAATGATTGTTGATTGATTTGTTAACTAGAACCCAGATCCCTCATCTCCAAGCTGGTGCTCTTTGAGCTATAAGGTAGCTTCTCCACATTTAGTACTTCATTTATCCTCATGTTTACCCTTGCGGATTTTGATAACCTCTCTATAAAGTGAAGACAGGCAGTTATTAGTACGCCTATTTTCCAGATGGCAGCCATCGCCAATGGTCTTGAGCTGTGTCTTGCCACTGGACTCATGACTGTGGAGGAGAGAGTGAGGCTGATGACTGCACAGCTCTGCCTCAATTAAATCCTATTCACTTTCGGGTCAATACAACACCCCTCGAATGTCATTAGTCCTCTGAGAATAAAAAACAAACAGCAACAATAGTTTACAGATAGAAAATGAAGGCTAAGATTGGTTAAAATGGCTTGGTTGAAGGTAACACATTGAGGTGGCTGGCAAATGTTAGAGGGAGGAAAGCACAGGTCTCCTGATTTCCAGTGGTTTTTAACTTGCTCGCTGCAGAACCACTAGAGGAAACAACCAGAGACTGAAAACACAGCTTTAGTTTAACTTCAATAGCCATCACTTTGAGTTTTTATGTATCCTAAAAATAAGCTTGTTCCAAAAATGATGATCTCAAGAAGGTTTGAAATTTGGTCTGTCGTGGGTTCCGTGTCTGATATACAAACTTATTTTTAAAAATTTCCTTATAAGAGCAGTGTTAAAAATTCCTTATCTAGATGAGGTTACACAGTTTAAAGAAAAAATTTTTAAGGGTTCTGTGGTTTTAACTGCTGTTTAAGACATCTGGGAGTTGTTTTTTTACCCTTACTTTGTGTATAATTGCTTGCATATATGCTACATCTGCCTGGCTCCACCCCCTATCTCCCATCCCCCACCCCAGAACCTGAGCTTCTTGAGGGTCAGAAACCTAAGACTGTTGCTCTTTGCATCCCCTGTGCCTAGCACCATGCCTTGCTCCTAGGAGGAACTTAAATATGTTGAACTTAATTGAGTTGCTAAGGTAATCAAGGAAGGAGAAGCAGCATAGTATATACTAGGTAAAGAGATGGCTTAGAGTCAGGAAGACCTGGATTCAAGTCCTCACTACTGACCAACTGGCTGTATGTCTCTAAACAAGTCACTTCACCTCTCAGTGTCTCCATATTTGTAAAGAAAGTGTTGATCTGCATTGGCAAAGGAAGGCTCTCACTGATGTTCTCTATACTGATGAAATCACAGGAATGGTCCAAAAAAAAAAAATCCACGGGATAACAAGAAATGCAGCAAGCCGGGAAAGAAAAGCCTGATGCATGGGACAGTAAGACTGAAGCTTCCCTCTGAAGGACCTCTTGAGGATTTAAATATTTATCTTTCTTTGGGGAGGGCACAAAAGCCTGAGTCAGTTCTCAGAAATGTGGAGCTCTGGGTGAGAGTAGGAGAGTGTGGTGATTGGGAGGTGGGAGAGGGCTAGCAGAAACAATAAGATAACAATAAGGTAAATGAGAGTGATCACGCTGGCCCCCCGCTTTGAGGAAATGCCATGGGTCCCATTTGGTGTTGTTCGGTCATGTCCAACTCTTTGTGACCCCATTTGAGGTTTTCTTGGCAAAGATACTGGAGTGGTTTGCCATTTCCTCCTCCAGCCTATTTTACAGATGAGGAAACTGAGGTAAACAAGGGTTAAGTGACTTGCCCAAGGTCACACAGCTAGTGAATGTCTGAGGCTAGATTTGAACTCGGGAAGATGAGTCTTCCCGAGTTCAGGCCCTGACTTCAGAAAGAGACCTTAGGGGTCACCTATTTCAGTAGTGTCAAACTCAAAAAGAAACAAATTGATAAGTTGTATATAAGGATCCCTGCAGATCTCCTATCAACTTAGAAAGCCACATATTAACATTATCTATGTTTTATTATATTTTCATTTATTTTGTTATGTATTTCCCAATAACATTTTTATCTGGTTTAGGCTTTGCTAAGGAGTCTTGGTAAGCCTCATGTGACCTGGGACTGCATGCTTCACACCTCTGACCTATTTCAACCCCTTCATTTCATAAATCAGGAAACAACTGAGAGGTCAAGGGCCTTGCCCAAGGTCACACAGTAACAAAGCTGAGACTTGAACCTAGCTCCTCTGCCTTTGAATTCATCATCCTTTCCATTACATAAAACTTCTTACATTAGGCTTTGGATTCCCAGTGGATAACTGAAGGGGAGAAGGAGTTGTTTGTGAGCAAGGAAAAGGAGAGAGCCATTATAGGAGGTGGTGACTGTGTTAAAGTTAAAATCCTTTTTCCTCTCTTTTCTGCATTAAAAATATTTTTTTCTTCATCTACCTATTAACCTACCACTCCCTCTCCCCATCTCAGTAGAAAGCCTCTCTTGTAGCAAACAGCTATAGTCAATCAAAAAAAAATGAATACATTTCCATGTCTGAGAATGCATATCTCATTCCGCATCTCTAGTCCATCACTTCTCTGTCAAGATGTGAGAGGGATTTTTCATCATCAGTTTTTTAAAGTGGCTATTATTCATCACTTTGATCAGTTTTAAGGTCTTTCAAAGTGAGTCTCCCTCGCATCATTGTTGTCATCAAAGAAATTATTCTCCTGGTTTAACTCACTTCTTTCTGTATCGGTTAGTCTATCTTCCCAGATTTTTATGCTATCAGATTCATTATTTCATATGACATGAGAGTATTCCATTCCATCCATATGGAGGTGTGTGAGAGAGAGACAGAGAGATTTAAAACAAAAATAAATCTAATTTCATGCCTCTGGAACATACCATCTGTTTGATCCTGGGCAATTCACTTAACTTCTCAATGCTCTATATAGGCAGCTCTTCATAAGTTGCAGCAAAGGTGCTAATCTGCTTTGGTAGAGAGAATTTCCTCAATTAGTCATAAGTTCGCTCTACTAATGAAGTCAAAGTTCCCTACATCAGCACACTACAATTTCTTCAGTGTTTCTCCACTTGACAGGC